TTCCCCTGGTTTTCCCAACATGTAAGCACTCTATACATCCCTTCTTCCTCTCGCAGTCGATAGAGGCGCCGCTGATTAGATGGCGATATTACTAGATGACGAGACAATATCCCACTCGAAAGAACCGCCTCTTGAGAGGGCAACAAGATCCAATGACTCATCAGAGCTTGACTCGACACCTTATACCTACCTTGGCTGTCAGAATCCCCCCCGACCGAGAGATTACACCATCTCAGATTGGTGGGTAATTATGAACAATACTGGCTGGGATCCCCTAAAGCAGTTTTCCTCTCAGCCAAGAGTGAGATACCATGATACGATTAGGCTTGCAGCATATATTGCTAATTGGGTACTCGCCGAGGCATACAATGTACGGCATCTCGGTCTTGGTAGTGCGGTTCGTATGACATGGTTTGACAGAAGCCCATCGGTCAACAATATCCACGCGATAAAGATACGACATAATATGACGCACAGGGTGTGCCAAGCTTTCACGGAGATCTTTTTGGACAACAACCTTATTCTTGATACAGCTGCACCTCAAACAGCTATCGAAGTCTTCCTATTCTTGCTTTCGGTCAGTTTTGACATAATGAAGGCCTGGGACTTGATATATGATATCTGGGTTAATCGAGAGAACTCGGAAGTTGAGAAGTATTGTTTTGATTGTTTTTGTAGTACTGCACTTCCTTTTTTCTAGAGTTACATCCTCTATTGTCAATAAAATTTGATTTCACGTAAGGAGTAATCGAGGTAAATATTGTAGCGTATTATCAGTATTTGATATTATACTTCCAATAGCACGATCTTCTACTTGGATACCTTACTTACACTATACAATGTTAAATTAAGCGAAATGATGGGCTATGTTTATTTCTTTGGTGACTCATCATGTCTCACGGTGCAACATAGCTTCGTTTCTTTTCTTTAATATCTTGCCCCTGTTTCGTTAAGTAACAAATAGCTGTGATTCGCAAAGATAGTAACTTGAGGGCTTAGTGACGTGGAAGAGACTTCCATCAATCGTCCTAGACACGAAGAGTCAACGTCTTGTCATTGTATTCGCAATTAGTTACTACTTCAAACTATATATTCTTCGCTACATTCTTGTACTCTAAGTACCTATTAATATTTTCACAACCAGCACAGCCATTTGACCTATCCAGCTAACTTAAATACCCATCACCTAATAACTACCTGAACACATTTCGAGCCCGAGTACCGTTACAAACCCAAATCGACCCACTATTATCTTGCCAACTCTTGCCAATTCTCGAACCGGACCAAAACTATTATGGCTTTTCAACCCCCGACGATAGCTCAGGACCCAACGTCCGTATCTCGCAAAGAAGCGGATGTCTACAATGCGTCCATCTTCGCCATCCGCGGCCTTCGCACAACAGCCACAGGCAATAAACTCTTCTACCTTACCAATTTTGTACTTCAGAACATTGAAATCCCCACCTTCGAGCCATTCTATTTCTTCTTCTATGGTCCGCTGCAGGTCCCTGAACAGTTACGGAACGTGTGCGGGATCAAGGACGCGAATAGCATCATTCTACGCAAGAACGTGAGCATCATTGGCTGGGAAAACAAAATGTGGAAACAAGTCCCAGTTCTATTGCCCGTAACTGGGGGACGCGTTGAGGGTTCGGCGTGGTTATGTGAGAAACCAGAGCACGTTGCGAAAATCTGTGCCTATGAGCACGCGTGCCAAAGCATAGCCTATTGCGACATCACCGTTCCTTCCCTTGATGGGTTATGCACAGAGGTCATCAAGAACGCACGCACATTTGTAAATAACAGACCCCTTGATGAACTGACGGACGGTTGTTTTGATGCAGAGAAATATCGTTTGGATCTTAGAGGATCATGGTAAAGCCATAGTCTCCTTCTCGGGCGCTTTGTATCTTGCGAGTTCTAGGGCGCCGTGTATAAACTGAGGTAGCTAGAGCAATAGACTCTGTTATCTTTCTTACATTACTTATGTTATCCTACACGAAAGACCTCTACATATTATCTTCTCCAGGGACATGAATTGGTATAAAATATCCAAGCTGATTTTGCTTCGTTGTCTAAAGAACGCGTCTCCTTATTCTAATGCCGTCTAACAAGTAAGAGAACCATGAACCGAATGACCCCGTAACTCCTTATCTAATTCCACAGTTGAGTGCCCCATCTAAGTCTATTGCTGTACAAATTCCAGTAGTTCCCCCTCTATCCGTGTCCTGCCCGATTCCCTTCCGTGACACCCCTTTGAATTCATCCATTTCTTGTATGTCTAAGCTCATCGATATATCTGAACCTGTTGCTGGTGGCTTTTCGCTATATTTTCTATTCCTCTGTAAATAAAATCATTAGCAACTAGAAACGACCAGAGAGTGATTTAGCATAGCTAGCCAAACTTACGAAGGCGAAAAAAATAATATGCCAGCCGTTCCAGGGACAACCCAAATATTAACTAGAATAACGTGATTAGCATCGTAAATTTTTTAGCAGTTATAAGGGGGCAACTTACGACGAACTGGTTGTCGGTGGTGGCGGTGCCGGAGCTGGGGAAGATTCGCTCTTGACAGTCGATGATCCGGACGCAGAGCTCCCTTGGCCTTGAGTAGTGCCGCCGCCATCAAGAGCAACCGACACTGCTGCTAGAATCACAACCATTTTGATGGAATATGTGTGGGTTTGTACCAGATTTTACTGGCACCAGAAAGATGAATAAGTGAAGGAAGAACTTGAGTTGCTCAGTTAAACGTAGTTGATAATGATTCCTATGATACAAACATGAGGCCTCCGGGCTTCTACGTCCTTTATATAAACATCGACGAACCAGGTTGGGGTTCTCATGACTCTATGGCTATGTAGCTCATAATGATAAAATTAGGCTCTCGTGGTCTTGTGGCCAGGTTGATGGCAACGACCCCGAAGCCCGAGCAGTCCTGCTTGGCAATATTTTCCCTTAAACGGTACTACGAGGTCCTCGTGTATAGGTCTACACTAACATCTCAATACGCTCTAGATAAGAGAACCCCGATGATGTAATTTCCCATCATTCCTATTAATTAATCCTATACTAAGGTTAGGTGTCACCCAAGTGACTCGATTATGGAGACGAGGGTCCTTACTACGACGGCACAGTCCTTCCTGCCCGTACACTCACGACCGGCGAGCTGAAAGTTCCAGCAAATCAGAATATTTCAGGCATCTCCTGTGGAGACGGGCCGATCAGGCACGTTCTTTCCACGTTATGTAAGGCTGATTCTGGGCGAACTGATGATTCGGGCGTCGACCCGAATGGCGGAGCACGATGGTACTAAGCTGGTTTGGGCAGTGCCAAGTAGCGACTTTAGATGAATCAACCAGAATCACCAATGACCATGTGGGCTCACGCTTCCATTCTGGGAGTATTTCCTATTTGAGCGATCCAATGTACTGTTGTATCGCTTAGCTCTTTTTCAGCTCGTTTGAAACGCCTCCAAGGCTCCAAGGTAGGACTAGGCCTGCCAGCATGTTCATCGGGTTTATATGTGTACACGGGAACCAGTCTCAAGCTTCTTGAAGGAAAAGCACTCTGATACGGCGTATTCATGCTTCTTTCCATACCTATATATCGAGATATTATCACGTTACTGGGGCTGTATTGTTGCATTGCTCCGGTCCGGCACGCCGCAAGCGGGCATCTCGTCGGATCCTATTGGACAATTGATCGCGAACGTAGTAACAGAGAAACTTTATGCCAACGACCAGGCAGACGTAGGCAGTGCTCGATGCCAAACGTCTAGATAGGCACATGTCTTCCTCAGAGGCGCAGGATTCAATATTGCAGTTGCATCATGCAGAAGGTGGTATTCTTAATTTTGTCGATTCCATCCAATTCTTCTATAATTGTTCGTGACGCGAACTGGGTGGAAATGAGTCATGAAACTCGATCACATGCATAAAGGACAGATGGTATCGAGGAACGAAGTGGCTGGCTTCCATGCGAAAGTTGCAAGCTCACAAAGAATGTAGTCGTTCCCCGAAGAGGCTGGTCGTGAGCTATTATAAGTTGCGCGTTGTGACTGTAACTCATTCCTAAGCAGGTTAAGGTATCATACTATAGTTGAAAGACTCCTCTTTTTCTCGTGAATGCAAAACTCTATGTGGGGGACTACTATTCCCAGCAATTAACTAGCACATGCAGGGGAAAGTGTCTATAGGATATATGAGCAATTAATACGATGAGAGTTGTTAGTTATTTGCGCTTTCTCCGTGAGCCTTCGGGATATGTAATCAACATACAGTCATGCGCTCTAATATTTCGCTTGAACTTAGCCACCACAGGTACAGGACTTGAAGAGGCATGCCGGCCGGAACTTCTGTACGGGATGACAATATTTTCCCTAGATTCATGGGTGATTGGGGTCATCAGTTGTGGCGGAGCACCGTAAGATCGCACGAGCGCAATTGCGATTATGTAGCGTTTACAAACCCGTATTTATACAGACTACTATGATGTCAGAATAAGTTTACTTCCACTAAATTCTCTAGCGAGCTTCCGAAAGCTAGCTCTTTTCAGTGAACTGAGGATTTGGTTGGTAGGTCGTATGAGGACTAATGGGAATCCAGAAACATAGTTAAAATGATGACTAATTGTAGAGAACTGAATATAATACTTGATATTATCTATTATTTTATCTTTATCCAGTGTTGCTACATATCTTGCGCTGCCTCCATATTCTCTGTTTGTTGAACCACAGCATCGGGCTACTGAAGCTGAATTCGCTTGTCGACGATGAATGTTACGTAGTGCGCCTTTATTTCCGTTCAGATCAAGATATACTTGAAGACGAGATATGCAGTGGCCTTGTTATCTTTTGTGTAGCACCTCAAAACTCCGATAGCAAGTATAAAGGAAAGCAAAAGGATTAGAAATAAGAAGACTGAAAGAATACGGAGAGAGAAAGGGAAAAAAAAGTTGGGTTACTACTCCCAGTGAATCTGAGAGGCATCAGGAATTGAGCCCGATGCGGGGGTCGAACCTGTTAGGGTTAGTTTTTTTTTCCTCGTTCATTTAGGTATTTTCAATTACTCACCCGCAACCTTGAGATTAAGAGTCTCACGCTCTACCGATTGAGCTAACCGGGCACGAATTGGGCAATATACCGTCACAGGCAGCTACAAATAGCTGTCCGCGAGGTTTCTTCTAACGAGCAGCAGGTGAGTCAAGCACCTCTGTTGATTAGAAGTAGGGTACCAGGGACGGTGCTAGCTGCCTACCTAGGTAGATAGCAACCTCTGCTATAGTGACTATATCATTCCTCAGTCTCAAAATTGCACAGCTTCAAAAGATTGCGCATCGAGTAATCGATAAAGGATGCGGACCGCAAACGAGGGGTCACGGTGGGGTCGGTCAGGATAACTATGTGCAGTACTTGTTATTGGGTCGATATTCCTTGTCAAACACCCCGCAGTCGTCATTCGTCTGATCTACGACGAGCTAGAATATGCCAGAATACAACCAATTTCCTTACTACATCTTTCTATAGGCACTCGTATAGGTATAGGTAACACCTTGCACCTCGAGGGACCCCAGCTTGCGAAACCTATCTAGAAACTAGTGCTGCCTGGACTGCCCGGTATAAGCCAAAATGCCTGTAGACTACAGCAAGTGGGTGAGTGTCTTATGCGCCTGGCCGTCAGTTCCTCGGGAAGAGTTATGACAAAGTATTTACTCACTATGATGCTTCTCGGAATAGGACAACTTAGAGCTCAGCGATGACTCCGATATCGAGGTTCACCCGAATGTGGATAAGCGATCCTTCATCCGCGCCAAGCAGACCCAGATCCACGCCGAGCGCGAACAGCGTCGACTCCAGATCAAGACCCTCAAGTACGAGCGCCAGATCAACGATGGATTGATGAAGCGCATATCCGCGCTTTTGGCCGCTCTCAAAGCCAATGCCGCCGAGGCCGAATCCAATCTCGCCGAGATGGCTTTCCGAGCCGTCATGGAGTCTGCCGGTAGCCCCGACGAGGACAAGCCGCCTGCGCGACCCGAGGGCGTCCATGCTCAGGTCGAGCAGCCGCCCACTTACACGAAGATGATGGCGTCACTGCTCGACCAAGTGAATGAGACGCTGAATAAAAACAACCCGGAGAACCGCTACACTGCCATGGTCGACGAGATAGGGAATCACCTGAAGAACGTGCAAGATCTACAGAAGCAGCTCTTGGCGAAGCTGGCAGAGCTGGAGAAGGAGGAGGGCCGCAAAATCACAAGCGAGAGTATCCATACAGGATTCGACAGTTCCTACGTTGCAAAATCTGAGCCTTCCACATCAGGGGAGAAGAAGGACAGCAGCAAAGTCGAGCTTCTAAACCCCAACTTCTCCGCAAGCAAGCCTGAGGAATCGAAGGCGACATCGGCGGCTGATGACGACGATGCCGAGATTGAGGCTTCTGCTGATGGTCGCAAGTTCGCGAACATCAAGGCCGCCGAGTATCGAGAAAGCCATGCGTTCATTACTTCACATCCTAATGTTTTGTCTGAGAAGGAGACCGACGGTATCCTCGTCATGGCCTTTGACGCACAACTGCAGAATCAGGATGATACTGCAAGGAACTACATACACCAAGCATTGCTGCTTCAGTACTGCCGCAATCTAGGCCGAGATGGCGTTGCGCTCTTTTTCAAGCGCATTACTACAAAAGGTCACCAAGCCCAAGAGGTATTCTACAAAGATGTTCAGGACACGTACTTCCGCATCAAAAACCGGACGACTGAGATCAATGCACAGCGGGCTACGGAAGGTGGCGACGTAGAGCAGATTCAACTCCATGCCGTCGAGCCAGGCACCGAGATCAAGATCCAAATCCCTCCGGAAAACAGCGAAGATGAAGCCGAGAAGCACGGCCGTGCAATTTTCGAGGGCTTTGCACCGGATATGCGAAAGGCGCTAGAAACTGGTAGTCTGGACAAAGTCAATGAGGTCCTTGGTATGATGAAGGTCCCCGAAGCTGAGGAAGTCGTTGGTCTGTTGAGCGAGGTAAGAAGACATGCCATACACCATGACATCATCAATCTGTCTGCTTATTCGCTAATTGCTAATTATCATGCAGGCTGGCATACTTAGCTTGGAGGAGCAAATAATAGACGCCACAACTGAAGAAGGCAAACAGAAGATCAAGGAGATGGAAGAACAGGCCGCGATGGATGCGTCGTCTGTCGGCGATCCTGAGTAAAAATAACTCTCAAACAGTATTGAGAGTTTTGTCGTTGTACTACTTTTTTTGGTCCTGATAAGACTGGCGGAGGAGGCGCCATTGTAATACATCAAAATATGGCTTTGGCTTTATATCGAGTGACAGGATCGTCTACGGTGAGGCGGAAGTTTGGTGGCAGCTGTGCCATACCGTTCTTGAGACAGCCTTGCCGGCTTGTTGGCTCAACCGTGCCACCAGTATGATATTCAATTCTGAATATCTAAGCAGCTCAGCTTACGTAAAGACACGATCGTTCTATCGCCAAAAATAGGAGGCCAATTGATTGTCGTTATCGGCATTTTCGTTTAGGGGCTGTGTGGTGTGGCTGCATCCCTTTGAAACGGCTTGTCTTTAGTGGAGCTCTCTCGTGTTAACACAACCTTGGAATGCTGCTTGGAAGGTTTTGTCGAATGTCAAGCAAGCCTTGGTACGGCAATTGCAAGCCGCAGTTAGATACAGTCACTAAGGCCTACAATAGCATTGCCTCGGCAATGAGGTCATGACCACGAACAAACATTTTTCATACTGGCCAGTCCCCCTCTTTCGAAAACACGAAAACTGATGAATTATGCTATGATACTTCCTTGAAACAAGCCGGGCAACGGAACGCGCGTTTACTAGTTTCATCTTCGCCTAGCTGCGGGCTGACGTGGAGAGAGAGGCGCAGTCGTCAGCTCCAAGACATCCACTTAGTCCGGACATGCCCCAAAAGAACACGCCGCCACCAGCCACCAGCCACGGCCAGCTGCAGGAGACCCTGTCGATCACCATATGCATGGCCAGGGTCTGGTACCTCAGGAGTTTTGGCTGGAACGTTCATTACGTACCCTATCTGCAAGCTGTATCTGCTTCAAACTGCTTTTGCACTTCTCTTAGGGACGCATAATTGAATTGTCTTTCCATTCCTCACGCTTAATAATTTCATTGCTTCTCTTCATTTTTCCCACAATAAGCATACACAGGTAACTGTACTACTAGTCCCTTATTTTTATTTCCTCAGTCAAAATGGTTTCCTCGTTATGCGTGTACATAGCAACGCTGGCGACTCTGGCGGGCACGGCCTACTCATCACCACAAGCCTCCACGATAACGACGGCAACGCCTGTCGCTACATCTGGAGCCACGTCAAGCTCGGCTTCGGGGGTGGCTTGCAACAATTCGCCAGACCTTTGCAGCCGCTCATACAGCAACATAACTCATATGGGCGCTCATGATTCGTCCTTCCTCCGTGACGCTAGCACCCAGAACTCGGTTGCCGGTAACCAGTACTTCAACGCAACCGTCGCATTGGACGCTGGCCTACGACTACTGCAGGTTCAAGTCCACGATCTCAATGGAACCATTGAGATGTGTCACACAACATGTGACTTGCTCGACGCTGGCCCCCTACAGAATTGGCTCGGAGACATTAAATTCTGGATGGACAACAATCCGAACGAAGTGGTGACGCTCCTAATTGTTAACTCAGACGGCAATGATGTCAAGGAATTTGGGTCTATGTTTGAGTCAACGGGCATCTCGAAGTACGGATACACGCCATCGGGCAATGGATGGCCGACTTTACAAACCATGATCACCGCCAACACGCGCCTCGTGACATTCATCGCATCCATCACCCCCAGCAGCACTTACCCGTATTTACTCACCGAGTTCGACTACGTCTTCGAGACTGCGTTCGAAGTCACATCGCTTTCGGGCTTCAATTGCACAATAGACCGGCCCAAATCGCAATCATCAGCAGCTTCCGCGCTCCAAGCAGGTCTTCTGCCACTCATGAACCATTTCGCAGACAAGGATTTGGGCTCCTCTATCACGATCCCAGACATCGACGACATCGCAACGACTAATAGCCCGTCTACGACGACTACTGGAGCCTTGGGTTTGCATGCTCAAACATGCCTTTCTCAGTGGGGGTTCAAGCCCACGTTCATCCTGGTAGATTTCTTTAGTGAGGGTCCTTCCATCAAGACCGCGGATCTGATGAACGGCATCACCAACCCTGTTGGGCGCAAGAACAGCAGCGCGACTGAGGCCGAAACTGCGGAGAACGAGGCAAAACGCGGGCGTGGCGCTACAGGCATGGGTACGGGCGCATTAGTTGCATTCTTCGTCGCTGCATTATTACTTGCATAAATTAGTTTTTGCGAGGCGGCATAATCCGGTTTTGATCTTCCGGAGTTGGAAAGTTTAAAAGGATCCATTTTGGTCTGGATTGGTTGCATAGCGACGGCGTTTTGCTTTTGTGTCGAATTCATCGACATATACTCAGTTGTCAGATGTCGCAATAGTGTACACATCTCCATACTACCTACTTAAACAGCCATTGAAAGCTGCCATGGAAATACTACAACACGTTGTCTACTAAATAGGCAAACCTAGATAATATAGGAAGCCCCAGTTAGAAAATTGTAACTCTGGGCTACAAATACAAATGTAAACCTATCAATTTATTTGCAGCAAATTTGTAAACATATCATGTTCTCTGACTGACAGCCCAGCGACTTAGGCGTGGATCACCGATTGTCATCCGGGCCGGTGGTGGGGTTTTGGAGCTCCGTTGACCTCAATTGCTTATCTGATCTATCACCTTACCTAACTCACATCAATCTCAAGACCCCTCTGTCATCAAATTTGGCAAAAAAATCACAGAAAGGTGGACAGGAATAAGGGAATAATGGAATATACGCAAATCGCGACGCCTGAGCGGTGCTACGCCGACTTCTGTCTGATTCCAGTGCGTGTATTCCCACGGGTTTCCCTGGTCGAACTTCTACAGCATTTCATGAAAACCACTTTGCATGAGTTCCCTCATTGTGTATAACATCTATATGCCCGCAATAATAGTTGTTCACCTCTTAGCATTTGATTCTCTGACGATGAGC